CTGCGCAATTTTCAGGTTTATTACGACTGGCACGTACGTTACATCGAGATATTGTTTAATAGAGCAAATCAGAGAGTACATTAACTAGACGCGCAATGATTAAATTTCGAAACACGAACGAATGAGTCTCCTTTCCTGAGCAACATCAGCCGCGTTTCCGTGATTTAAATTAAATCGATTCAGCTTGGTTGTCAATCAGTCCGGAATCCACTTCAGAGGACATTTGATGGCCGCTGTGAAAATACGCATCCTCCTTCAATTTATGATACTCGCTTATTATCTATCCATAATATTGCTCGATTTTATGTATGCGTATATATTTATGTGTATTTCCGTCCATAAGTCATCAGTAGACTGCGGATTTTTATGCAGGATAAAATATTTAGGATATCACTTTAAAAAACGTGTTTCAAAATTTTAAATAGAAATTTCTTTATCATTTAAACATTGCAATATTCACTTTGTTTGGGGTATTATATAATGTTTATATTTTCTGTACATTTAATTTCCTTACAAATGCATAAAATGAAATTTTTGAAATTTTTAATATGCACTGTGCATATGTAACTTGTATCCGTGCTTTAATTAAATCGGGTCTGGATTGAATACACACAAAACATGGCCGACTTTAATGAAACTATTAACGCAATCATTTTCGATCACTCGATATTTGTTGCTTCCATGAATCCGGCATGCTCGAATGCGTTATTGTTTCTTCATGCATTCGCCGAAAAGGGAAACGCTTTTGCAATGAAGGATCAGTTACACGATATTCGTGCGTTGTTCGCTCAACCGATCAAGCAATTAAATTACACTTAAATATGATCAAAATATGTTTAAAACGAATTACTATAAAGATAATAAAAAATTTAATATTTAACCGAGTTTCATTCACTTATACAGTCAATGCTTATCGATTATTGACAAAATCAACGAGTTTAATCGACGGTACTTCATTTTCCATGCATAGATTGTCTTTAATGAACTCGCTGTTTGCAGATAATTATTGTAATCGACTCTTTGAGAGAGGAGAAAGAGATTGCGAGGAAACGATCACGGTCACGCGTTAAAAGCAATTATTCATCGTCTGTTCCCGACACATAGTTTAAATCTCGCGTGAATGACCGGAGAAAATGCAATCTGGTTATAACGTTTGCGCGTAACGGATATAAAAGATGAGTTAATAGGAACTACGTATCATCGGCTATAATTCCGTTATTAGTTTTGGTATATTCGACGAGTTCTGTCGAATGCAAAATTTGTATAAATTTTTAATCAATCGGCTAACTAACCGGTTGAGGACCTTTTCATTAGGCAACGTTATTTGGTTATAAAAGGGAACCAATTACAACCGAGTTTATTCATCGTTTCGTTATACTCTTGGCGTTGCTCCATCGAGAGCCGCAATCGAAACATCGCGATGTCAATGTTTCGGGGATGAAGTGTTCAGTCGTCAGCTTTTTTGTTCACGTGTTGGCAATGATAGTGAAAATCCGCGACAGGGAGGAAAACAAAAATTGCAGGCGCGAGTACATTCGAAGTGCGATTAAACGATCGAAGGGGCTATCGCGTGAACATTCAGCACCGACAAACTAGCGGGCTATGCTTATATCGCGATTTTTCGAACAGATCTTTTCGCCTGTTTTATCGCGGAACATTCCGGTTTGCGCACTTTTTTTTGTTTGCGCATTTTTTCTACTCGTCTATTCCAAAATTATTTTCAGATTTAATCTTCATTCTCTCTCTTTATTTTCTCTCGCTCCTAATTGTGCCGAGCTTCTTTCTTGGATACGAACGAAGATTCCACCCTTACAAGCAAATTACGATTATCATCATCCTTTTTATTTTCTCCTTCATCCCAGCACGATGCTTCGAGGAATGAATAAAATCGTTAAGCTCATTTCGAATTCGTGGTCGCGACTACGAAATCGTATTACATTCATTAAAGGCCACGGGCCAGCTAAAGGCACAAAACAACGGGTGGATGCCGGAGAGAAGGAGGATTGTCGAATCGGTAGTGTGTAGGTGCTTAACGTATCGAGACCAAGAGGAGAGCTAACAATAAGTCCAACGAACCAGAAGAGCGAACTTTCTGATCGCGTTGGTTCATTGCAAGAAGGCACGAGCTACTACGGAGACCTGCAACTGCAAACGACGTATTCTGACCTCCTATTCGTGGTACCTCAACGGGCTTGCGGTTCGTTTCTCCTCTGAATTCTCGACTACCTCCGCCTAGTAATGGAGATAACCCGAGTTTTAACAAAATCAATAGACAAGTTCAAATGATATATGTATTCTCTAAAGAGACATTCGTTACAAGAAACGATGCAGCCCCCTCAACTCGGAAATAGCTTTTCATCTCATATTATATTCGACTTGTGAACTGGTGATACTTTTGGATTATAATTCCGTTATTAGTTTTGGTATATTCGACGAGTTCTGTCGAATGCAAAATTTATATAAATTTTTAATCAATCGGCTAACTAACCGGTTGAGGACCTTTTCATTAGGCAACGTTATTTGGTTATAAAAGGGAACCAATTACAACCGAGTTTATTCATCGTTTCGTTATACTCTTGGCGTTGCTCCATCGAGAGCCGCAATCGAAACATCGCGATGTCAATGTTTCGGGGATGAAGTGTTCAGTCGTCAGCTTTTTTGTTCACGTGTTGGCAATGATAGTGAAAATCCGCGACAGGGAGGAAAACAAAAATTGCAGGCGCGAGTACATTCGAAGTGCGATTAAACGATCGAAGGGGCTATCGCGTGAACATTCAGCACCGACAAACTAGCGGGCTATGCTTATATCGCGATTTTTCGAACAGATCTTTTCGCCTGTTTTATCGCGGAACATTCCGGTTTGCGCACTTTTTTTTGTTTGCGCATTTTTTCTACTCGTCTATTCCAAAATTATTTTCAGATTTAATCTTCATTCTCTCTCTTTATTTTCTCTCGCTCCTAATTGTGCCGAGCTTCTTTCTTGGATACGAACGAAGATTCCACCCTTACAAGCAAATTACGATTATCATCATCCTTTTTATTTTCTCCTTCATCCCAGCACGATGCTTCGAGGAATGAATAAAATCGTTAAGCTCATTTCGAATTCGTGGTCGCGACTACGAAATCGTATTACATTCATTAAAGGCCACGGGCCAGCTAAAGGCACAAAACAACGGGTGGATGCCGGAGAGAAGGAGGATTGTCGAATCGGTAGTGTGTAGGTGCTTAACGTATCGAGACCAAGAGGAGAGCTAACAATAAGTCCAACGAACCAGAAGAGCGAACTTTCTGATCGCGTTGGTTCATTGCAAGAAGGCACGAGCTACTACGGAGACCTGCAACTGCAAACGACGTATTCTGACCTCCTATTCGTGGTACCTCAACGGGCTTGCGGTTCGTTTCTCCTCTGAATTCTCGACTACCTCCGCCTAGTAATGGAGATAACCCGAGTTTTAACAAAATCAATAGACAAGTTCAAATGATATATGTATTCTCTAAAGAGACATTCGTTACAAGAAACGATGCAGCCCCCTCAACTCGGAAATAGCTTTTCATCTCATATTATATTCGACTTGTGAACTGGTGATACTTTTGGAATGCTATACACATGCACATCCGTTCATGGTACTTATTCGTGTCCGAACACCTACGTAGAGTTCAGTTACGTAGTGTTCATGTAGGAAGCTCTTGGATTAAGTTGCCCACCTTCCTTAATGGCCTTTAGACCTTCAAAATGACGTACAAACTAATCTAGGGTGGGAACGTAGGTGTCGATATTTTGTGACGTATGCTGAATGCTCGTATCTCGTATACTTCTTCACGAAATGTTAAATGTAAAGGTATCTTGCTCTTTCTTCACTGGTTATATCACACACATTAGTTTGGTAATTTAGTGTATTTACGGGATATAATACAATTAGCGTTTTTTATTCATTTGTATTAAAGCAGACCATTATCGAATCTGTCTAATCATGCACTGCATATATGAGTCTTCGAACAAATATTGTTAACCATGAAATCTGAAGCGTCGTGACAGTATCGTTAAGCCGTCGCGAGGGTATTGACTTCATCGGTAACTTTTCGGTTTAGGCCACGTTAGGCTAGAGTTTGTTTAGATATCCACGGGACGGTAGGGTGATGGAAATTGGGCGCAGAACCGGCGGCGTCGGTAATGGTGACTACGTTGGCTGGCAGGTTTCGTAGGGTTAGCAGGCGGGGATGCACCGCAAGCTCGAAAGTTACGAAAAAGCCAAAGGAAGGGGTTGTGCTACCAGCGGAAGCCTGTGTCGAGGGCGCAAGCTCGAGGTCGTCCCTGTGCCCTCCCACTCAGACACGCGATAGGTGGAGCTTCCCTGGCCGCCAATACATGGCCCGGGGACACCCGTGTCCGTGTGCGCTGCGTGCGTAAAACCCAGTTCAGTCAGTCTCTCCACGTCCGAAAACGCGCGGTCTACGCACCCCGGTACGAGCGAGCTCGCCCTGCTCTCTCTGCCGCGCTGCGCTGCGCCCAGCGTAGCTGAACAGGTCAAGCCTTTCGTAAAATATCGAAACACCTTTATCGGCGTCCGATTACCCGTGACCAATTTGTCAAGGTTAATCGTTCTTCTACGAGATCAATTCTGTCCTCCTTTCGCCCTGATGTGATCGTTAATCTGCGCTCCCGTGTTTGTCCAGGCAGACGTTGGGAAACTGATTGTGACAAGTTACACTCGTGCTCGATTGGTACTCGAGAAATTTGTGAAGGTTAATCGTGACTAGCCCTTTCGTTCAACCTGTTTCGATTCCTGTTCGGACGATCCTATCGTGTTCGATTGTCAATGAGGAATCTCCGACGGTTAAGTTTGTTTTTGTTAAGTTCGCCTGGTGCGAATCAATCTTCTTCCGCGATTACTCCTTCCTACGTATTTGCTAAGAGAAACGTTGGAGAAACTGTTCTGGACTGATTGCGATGATTGATCGAGGGTCTTGGTTTCAGAGGCTATTCTTATAGGATGTAAGCTAAATTTGTATCGTTTCCGACGGGTTCCCCGTGAATTTCCTACTGCAAGTTTTCACCATTTTCCTCGTTTTTTCATTTACACGTGTCAAGAATTTTTAAACGCCTATTTTATAGTTGACGCTCAAATTCTGTACTTCATACAATTAATTTGTGATTATTACGTGGTTTTATTAACATACCAAAGTACAAAATCAAGAAAGTGTAAAATAATAACAAGTTGAAAATCGAGTGTGTCGTTAGTGAGAGTATTTATGTGATAGGAAATAAAAGAAGGATAAATCGCTTATACATATATAATATTAATAATTTGATATAACATCGCTATCAATCGATTGTATATCATCAATGATAATGATAAGTATTCAGATAAATCGCTATCAATGATAAGTATTCAGATAAATCGTTGTGGTACAAATATAATTATCGCATTCGGAGAAATTCAACCGCGAATACGTGCGCAGGATTAAAAATTGTTTTCAGTGGGAAAGCGGCAGCCGATTTTCGTGAGTTTCCGCTCGGTATAAAAAGATATTACTGTGGCATCCAATGGGAAACGTGCAATGAAACGTGCATACATCGTACAATGGACACATTAATAATAATGAAGCACCGGTGAGAAACTCGGTGCATGGAAAGCGTGCGACATTAAAGCAGCGAAGTCGAACGAACTCACTTTAGTTAGAGTATACCCACGTCTTAAAAATATCTTTAATTTTCCCTTTCGTACAATACGTGGGAACTAACGCTTATGCGTTGCATAAATCGTCTCTGGATTTAATCCTACCTATGCAGATGGCGCATTCCGTCTGATCTAGCACGATCCTATTCTACTTTCCACAGAGACTCGTCTGTTCAGCGATGATGCAACTACACGACGTTACATGCCACTTAAAGTCATCGTGCGTTCTTCTAATAATAATGTGTTTCCTGCCCTCTTGGTATTCATTAAACAACCAATGCGACAATTAAGGATGCAGCGTGTGAATGAACTCTGACACGATCGTATCGATGATGGCATTTTAATTGTTCCAACGATTGCGTCGCGTGCCTCGCTCTCTCTTCTGGCTTCGTTAATTCCGATAGTAACGTGCTTTGAATATATGTCTATTTAAATAGAGAAATTTTTTATTAGTCAATCATAAATTCTCTGTTGCTTGCTTATCCTCCAAATTCTTTTGACGTATTTCTTCTTGGTACTCAATCCTGTATTCCACTTACATAAAGAATGAAGTGTTAATAAAAAATGCAGTGTACGAAATTGAGAAGCACGTTAACGCGGCTGTTGCATCGCGAAGAATAATTCTACTTGCAATTTGGTAAGGTACAAGATCGTTCGAAAGAGGCAGAGAAGAAATGTTTATAACTCTTCTTTCATAGAAGGCTTAGCGTGTTTCATGGATATTCCTGAGGTCGTACGCAGCGTATAGAAGGTTTTTTTAAATCCGGGGACGGGAAAGGTGTTGTATGCCGGTGGAGGCCGACGGCAAATTTCTGTTCAGTCGACGTTGTCTCGGTCAATAGTCAACACGTACCATAGGAGTCGACAACGCATCGTCTCACGTTCACTTTTCAATCGAATATCCTTTTAACACAAGTGTTAGTTAATTCTCTCCTCGATCTTCGGTTTCCATCACCATTATTTTATTTAGTATTTCATCGTACTTTTGTTTGATCGATTTCATTCGCTACATATATTATTCACGATAATTACCTTTGATAATCGAACACGCTAAATTTTCCATACAACCATCAGCTATCAGAATTTATAATTCGAAGGTCTTTACTTCGTGTTTGAAATTAAAAAAATAATTTATGAAAGTACGAGGCAATCCTATGATACTTAAACTGTAGCCTTCGTCTTGGACACGGTGTCGTCTCAAGGTTACCAAGGGAAAGGTTCTCAAAGATCCTTGAGTTCGGTCGTTTAAAAAAAGGAGAAAACGAAGATTCTTTTGACCGTGATAGTTCAAAGCACCCGCGATAAACAAAGAGAGCGAGCAAAGTTCCCCCACCCTTCTACCCATCGAGGGAACTTCGGCAAGGATCATATCGGCAAGCAAAAGGCTTCACAGTGTTCCTTTCGAATTTCAGATCAAACGTAAAGTGCGCGCGTGTGGTTCGTGTGTGTATGCATGTGCCATCTTCCGCGTGAAACACTAAACGGGTGAGAAGAGGACTCGGGCCACACAAGCAAAACATGGGTACGTCGTCGCTGAGATTCATTTCCAGACTGATCTTGTTCGCCTACATCGCGTCGCATTTCGGTAAGTATTTTTTATCATTACATTTATTCTTAACGCATTATTTCGCCTGCTCGTATGCGTCCGGCTTTTATTCGCCTGATTCGGTTATCCATACAGTTTGTCATCTTATAATGGCGAGTTCCTAAAAGTCGAAGGACATGATTAACTTTACGTTCTGACAATGAGACCCTATGATATTTTTATAATTCAGGTTTCTTGCGCTAGAGAATTAATCGTAAAATCCGATTGCACTAAAAGCGCAGATACATGAACGAAAAGTTGTTATGTCGATAGACGCAATGCTTTATCTTTTACCAGATTCGGATATAATAAATGGGAAAGCGCATAGACCACATATACCGGAAGTACATAACACGTGCCTCGTGTACGTGAGATATTCGACACGGTTGTGATTCGATATTCGAGCCTCCTTCTAATATAAAAAGCGGTTTGATGTTTCCATTCGTTTCATGCTCGCGATTGAAAAGACGCGAATCGATAGATCGAAAGATCGATCTCGACGCCATGTCGATTAAACGGTCTGTTGTTAATTACCGGGAATAGCATACTGCGCGTATCGACGCCTGGGCGGTTATGGTAATTTGAAAACTTTGAGCGATTTAGATGGTAAATTGCTAAGGGGAAACGAGGACGGGCCGAGGGAACATTGGAAAGACGCGGCAGCAAATGCGTCGCTGTAATTGCATAATGGCCCTGGTGTGTTCGCTTCGAGATACGAAGCCCTGGCCTGGTTTTTACTTGAGGACTTTCACTCCGCATCACTGACTTCTCTCTATCTCTGTCCTTCTCTATATATCCGTATATTCCATCTTCCTCTCTCACGATCCCCTCTGCCCTTCTTCGTGTCTCTGTTTCTCTGTTCCTTATTTTATTCCCCGCTTCCTTCGTTATTCTCTCACCATTTCATTTCCTCTCTGCCGGTCCTGTTTTTATCCTCGTACTATATTGCTCCTTCGTGCCGTCGCCAGTTTCTAGTCTTTTAAGCGTGACCTACAATTATTTGTATTTTCCATTGAATGTTATTTATATTCACCACTCTTTACATAAAATCGAAGATCTCACTCTCATGAAAGTATAGTAAGATCACTGTTATTTGAAACTTAATCAAGACTGTCGAGTCTGCGTACTTACCCCGAATCTCAATGAATGCTCACAAATTGCGCAGAGCGATACATAAAGCTAACTCTATACGTGTAAGGAACCGGGGTGGGATTGTTACTCGGTATTAGCTGATTTCGAGTACGGAATATTGTTTCTGGAGATCCCGCCGTTCCAATTGCTAGCATTTAGCAGCTTATCTGGATTATCGTTTCCCCATGCGCGCGAGGGAGTCCAGTCCACCGTGGGGTAAAAACCCTGCGGTACGCATCGTGGCGTCGTTGATTGTGCTTTTCAAAATTCACGGGCGTGCCTTCGATTTTTTTCTTTTCCCTTCCGCTACCGAGAAAGGAATTAAAACGGTGAAGGAGATTAGAGTTTAAAGTCTTTCCATTCTTGATGCTGGTATAACGGGAAAAATACCAACTCCGGAAACACGTAAATTCGGTGAAAAAATGTGCAATATTCAAAACACGCTCGCGTTCTAAAATAGGACCAAAGTGTATCTATATGTACATATGTATGTATAGATACGCGTATCGTTCCGCTGGCGTCGATTCGAATCGTTAATTGATTACAGAGCGCAATATTTACTCTATTTCTTTGCGTACGAGAGATACACGCGGATAAGCGTTTAACGTTTGACCTACTTGTTGGATAATTTGAATGGTTTCTCACGCGTAACAAAGTTGATCGTATCCTCTCGATAAAATTTTACCTTGGAATTAAAATAGATCCAAGTGTTCATTTGTTCCTACCGATCGTATTCAAGAACTATATGTACAAGGTCCCATCTGAGATCACTTTATCTTTCTATACTCTGAATGCTCGTAATGTTGCAATGTTCGCAAATTATTCTAATATTATTTCAGAATTTGGCATATAAATGAACAAATATTCTAGTAATGATAAACAGTTTTTTGTTGTAAATGAAATATGTTCCTTTAATATTTTCCAGTGAATTGTTATTAACAATCAACTGGTCTCGCTCAGAGGCTCTTCTCGTTCTGTTTCTCAATGACAATACTTCTAAGGTGTCCCATAAGTACATTCTTTCTCAGCGTCCGAAGAAACTGTGCTCTCGCCGTATACACGTAGAGTTTGAAGACCTATTACGTCAACGCTAAATAGACGTTTACAGAAACTTTCCTGCTACGAAATCTTCGACAGACGGTGATCAAATCGTGGAGTGGCAGGCTTTTGGGAACATCTCTTACAGATATAGATAGAGAGTAGGAACGCATCAGCAGCACATGTAGCTTCCAATAAAGCTCCGGTCGAGTGCTCAATCGGCACTCAACGAATCTCGAATCAGACAATATCCTCATGGTACGCCCGTCTGAAAAACCCATAAGGTCTCTCGAGTATAGGTCTGTCTATGTATGTACAGACTGTAGACTGTGTACTCATATAGCAATAAGCGGTAATGCTTCGTGGCACGGTTACGGGTATCCGTTCTGTACAAGTTTTTTTTATCTTTTTTTTTTACCGGAGATTACTTCCGGGTCAGCAGGCAAGCCCAATTGTATTCAATCCACAAGCTTTACAGATTACCGGACACTCTTGTCGCGTGGTAACGCGACGCGTATTCCGTGTAATCAATCGATTTTCCACTTTTCCCTCTATGGCCAACGTTAAGACCGCGATTTACGGTAAATTCGATTCGCGCGTGTGAGAATATTTTTATCAGACTATCCTGCGCTCGGCTTTCTGTCAGAACCACGTTTACCGGAAATTTGTTTTTGTCGCGATAACAAGTTATTTCGAAACTGCACTCGATATTTCTACCAGAACGGCTACTGAACGGCCAGTGAAAATATTCGTTTGCCGCGCATTTTGTCATACTCTCACTTATATCGATTGGCCTGTTACAATTAATTTACACTTTTAAAGTCCGAGACGCGTTTAATTTCAACAGAGGAAATTGATTTCCAAGAAAACGCTCTGATGCGAAACGATCCGCGGAGATGGAAACCGCAAACGAAAGACGACGCACTCATCGTTACGATTGTTGGTTTACTTGACTATTTGTTATAATAGTAATCGTGCAATTTTTCCCCTCTTTTTTGTTACCTTGCTTTCCCGTGGGATTACGTCTGGTTGAACGAGTTCCCGCTCACTTGGGTTCAATCTCCGTACTCCGTGTGTCAGATTACAGAGTACTCGCCGTAGTAGCATCTATAGTAACACGTGTGCAGTATGTAAACTCGTGGTGCGCGTGCGCCCCCACCCGCCTGTACGTATATGTACTTAAGTAGACATTTGTATATGTATGCAAGTATGCAGTATGCAGTATGCCCAGCGGCCAGTGTATCTATATGTATATATTATAAGCACATACCGATTGAAAAGTGCCGTACTTTTTTGTATGCGCTCGATACATATTTGGGGTCGACCGATCATTTCTTTCTTTTATTTCAGTAAAGATTTTATTGTTAGTTTTGAATCTATCCAGCTTTACCTCACTTGACTACAGTTCTTCAGGAGGCAATGAACGATGCATTCGTTGTTCGATAATAAGAAGGTTGAGCATTATTCAGTATTGTAACAGATTCTGCTCTTTCAATCAGAAGCGGTCACGAAAATTACGAATCACTATGAAAAATCAGTATGATTAGAAACGAACGTGATCGAATCATACGTGATTCAAAAGTAGCAGTTCTAGCCATATTGTGCATATCAATATTACCTTTTATTAATATTGAGAGAATGCTGCTTTAATTGAATTACTAAACATTTATTATAACAATTAAAATATACAGCTCTTTTTCATTCGATTGCTGAAACGAGAATGAATCACGAACCGTGATGCACCCTCGAAACTTAAGTAGCTTTCAGGATCCAGGGTGGGGAGTCTCACACTCAACCATCGGCATCAGCGTTCCCTCCGCGGCGCGTCGTCAGTAGTATGAGGGGCGTCGTGTTCAGACAGTCCCCACCGCGATGCGTATCAAAATCCGCCCCTATCATCTACCACTCTACTATACATCTACCGCTGTGGAAGTGGAACAGGTCAGCCGGACGTTCTGAATCAACCCTGCCGTTACGATTTACGTATTCCTATACATTTTCAAACTTTTTTCATTCTTTTGCACACACTTTCACCGAACGGAGCGTTTCTTTGCCCCAGTGAAACTATTATCAATACTTGAGATTCAATATTTCGGAATAACTTCACCCCTTTTTTGTATCAAGGATCTATGCAACCTAAATTTTGTTTTAAACTTTAGATTATGAGAGAGTTTCTTTTCCGTAAACTGTTTAACGATAACATTATCACATACAGAGAAGTAATTGTATAAAATTTAACAAATTTAGCAGTCTAGCCTTCTTCTCAATTCTTACTGCTTGTCCTCGCGATTGTTACACCTTGACTCAAATGCAACAAATGTATAACATCGTCTTACCATAGAGTCTTGGAATTCGATGACATAATTACAATTCTCTCGACCATGATCTGGAATTACACACAAGATCATAGCATTCCCGTACATTGACGCAATCCAGTATCCAATTAACAATAAAATACAGATCTAAATTACTTTTGAATATTATTCCATTTGAAAACTTCCAAAGGGTTGATTTTATGGTTCAGTGAAGTAGATTCAGCTGGTTCCATAATTAAAATTCAACCATAGCGGAGGAAGGGGGTGCAATTGAACATAGAGGATCATATGTTCACGTGCGGACACGACGACGGGGTACTCGGAGTAATTGGAGTCGGTAACGGGTATACATTTAATGCGTGTATACTTGTTGCTTGCTCGCCAGATGCGTGACTCCCAGAGGAGTTATGTTATTCGAATGACGAGTAGACCAAGATCGCCCTCGAAGTTGCCAGTTCCGCCGTGTTAATAGATGTAAACGACCAATTCGGGAGATTTGTGGCTAATATAAATTACACCACATTAATTGACTATCGTGTGACAGAAAACTATAATAATCTATATTTAGAAATTTGTTCGTGGCTCTAGAAGTCTCACAGCATTTGTAAAAGATCAACGCTTTTATAATATTTAGAGTATTTTATTATTTTATTACGCAGGCTCATTGGCATTTGTCAATTTTAATTCTCCTTAAAAAGTTTCTTTCCTAGTACATTTGATATGAGAAAGTCTAATTCCATTGTTAAATTGGTCCGGGTAACCAGTGGCGATACAAAATCGTGTTCGGTTTACATTGGGCAGAACAACCCCTGTACCTTAATCTATCCGCAATCAAATGATCACGTACCTCTCCCAGATGGGATCCCTTTCCTTTCTTCTCCCATAGTATTTTCTTATCGGCTCCTCTGGGGAGAGGATAACCTGGAATTGCATCGTGTTGCCGTGCCTATCCGATGGCGAAGCAAAATGAAAGCCGACCGGAGTCAAAGAGCCGCAGACGTATCAGGGAAACAATTTAACTAATGGAACAGTATTGCCCGTAGAAATCTATGATCGCGCGCGGCCCCCAGCGCCTTTTGTGCCATATTATCCGCATCTTTCGGGTGCTCGTGTCGGCATCCGTCCTCGTTATCGGTACTCGATTCCAATTTCTCGTGATAGTATCGATCGACGTTTCGACCAACGTCACTGGCCCGAGAAAAGGAACTGCTGTCTTTCAAAAGTGTTCGAATTGATGTCTTCGCTTTTGTCCGTGACGAGTTTTTCTAACTATCTCGATAAGGAAATCAATTGCGTATTCAAACCTCTTTAAATTGAACTGATTTTTTTCAATTCAATTAACTATTTCGCAAAAATATTATTTTCTGTTTGTTAGTAACTAAATGTAATAGATGTTACGCGTTAATTACGCGGGTGTATTGCATTGGCTTCCTTGTGTGGACTGGGGTATACTATAATTTGCATGTCTTCGGGGTGCATAATGTGTTATTAAACGAACGGGTGACACGTGCGCTGACACGGTGTCATTATCGAGCATGCTCGCGCGTCTCCTCTGATTGTCGCAATCGTGCCCGCAGTTTCACAAATTGATATCACATGCCATGAAATAAATTCACCCTTGTGGAACGTGTCGCCGTTCCACCTATTTATGCTTTGAAATTTATTAGATGGAAATTGAATGAAGATTGAAAGTTACATCTTGACAAGTACCAGTCTTAACGTACTCGAGACGAGTCTCTTAGGGGAACGGAACAGAGAACAGGAGGCGGTCGAAATCGTGGTTGAAATTGGCGTCCAAATATTCCGATATCGATGGTAGCAGCACGGTGATGATGGTCGGACGTAGTAGGGGAGACGATATTACAGTGGCGTAGTCCGTGTTTGAGTTCCACTGCGATATGAATGTCTCCCCATGGGGGTGTCGTCGCATATCGATTGGAATGAGGTGCTAGCTACGCGTGCACGTATGTATGCGACGTACATCCGTATGCATATACGTGTACTTATGCGCGTCCCGTTTCAAACGGCCCTACGTCGTAACCGTCACCGCGAAATTCGTGGGAAACTATGTAGCTTTGAAAAGCGAAGGGAGTCGACCGTGAATCGTGTTCTGCCCGATGACATGGTCACCATTCTCGTCGAGGATAATGGTGTCGGTGCTGGAACATTTGTCACGTGCCCGCATTAGAACGTGTCACGCGCCCTAAACGCATCGAGTCACGAAAGTCCGACGTCCGACCCCGTCTAATTATTAAAAGTCGATTTAGTTCCGGCTTTCTGTTAATAAAAATTAGCATTTAGACTACGAAATTGACTTTGGCATCAAAAATTTTCCGTAAATTCTATTTTTTCTATTTTTCTAATGTTAAATATTATACTGGTTTCACAATACATAGAATGATTATCACGTTACCTGTCTACCCTTCGATACAGTCCCTCTATTCAGTGGAATCGCTTAAAAGACCATCCGCGATAGCATCTGAAAGATAGATGCACCCTTCCATAACCCTAAGCTGCGGCTTTTAACGAGCGATATCTCGATCAAAGATAGCGTTCCATTATGCGTGTAAATGATCGTAACCAGCGGCAAACTTGGTTGATTGAAACGACAGAAGTAAACACAGAAGTACGTGAAAGTAAAAATTGAGAAAATAAATTGTCGAGCAAGAAAATACGAAATCTATTTACGAAAAGGGTGTACTTTAAGCTGTGTCTTTATTTCGTACACCGGTCGTATTTGTCGAGCACCTTGAGCCCGCAGACCGTTCTTCCGGCACGAGTTCTATTTCTCTGGAATCCCGTTTCTTTTTTATCGTGAGGTTAACTCACAAGGATATATCGCGACGCTCTTACTATTCGTTTCGAAAAACGTGAACGTATAGTAGCTCTCATAGTAAACCAAGATTATGGATTATACTTCATAAATTCATGTTTCAGTATTTAATGTTCCTTCATTTATACATCATTGTAAGATTAAATTTATGATATACAAGAGAGATATTGGGTGATGTTAGGGGGTAAATGTCATAGTGATGTACATAAGTCACTTTTCGGACTGACAAGGTTCCGGAAATGATGCAGCTGTTAACACGCTTTGTATTGCTATCAATTTGTAAAGATGAGTTACGACTTACTTCGCGTTTTCTTTGAACGAATTAGCATTTGTAGTTCAAGGAAGTATTGCAAGTCACAACTTGGCAGAATTTGCACCATTATAATCTTTACTCCTTCATACATAACAGCTTGTTTACAAAATTTAAAAAATAAAACGAAACAGAGTTTGCTGAAGAAACTGAACGTTCTCTCATCACTTTATCAATTAACACTGCTACTTGATGCCTTAATTTGGTATCTTTCTACCGCTGTTAAACCTCGACCTGTTAGAGCAAACGAGCCGCGATAGATCGACGTGTATTCCGACTACGGACAAGTCGTGGCAGCCAGTTCGATATTGCTGGGAAGGATGGAGGATGGTCTTAATGCATTTGTCGAGGTAGCTATGGTACGCATCACCAAGCACCCTTTCTGCAAGCTCAGCATGCTCTCTCCCTTCGCCCACTTCTCTCTGACTTTTCCTTCTTCTTTCTCTGTCCCTTTTTGTCTCGTCCTATCAATGCCGGGATCTCGATGTATCTATCCTCACTTTTACCACCAGGTGCGTCTAACACTTTCCCTTTAATCTTTTTTTGCATTTCTATGTATGCTTTCTCTTGATTTCACATCTTCTTTTCTTTCTTCATTCTGTCTGTTCTTCTGGTTTCGCAGCTTCTTTTG